CGGGCCCTGGCTGTGTGTCAGTTTCCAGGACGAAGCAGAACACGGGCACAGGCATCCCCGCCCAGGCCTCTGGACCCACCTTCCCGAACCACACGGCTCCCTCCCACAGCAGGCCTTAGAGAGAACAACAGCCCCGTTGTACCAAGTGAACCCCTCCCAAGCCACCACCAGCTCCTGACAACGTCTGGCGGCCACCCACCCCCTGGTGGCGTCTGGCTTTGCCGGGAGTCTAGGGAAGAGGTCTTGGTGAGCAGGCACTAGGCGGTGGCACCTAGCGGGAAGGGCAGCGGCACCAAGGTGGCCCGGGGCCCTCCCTGGCCACAGCCCCCTCCCTGGGCAGCAGCCCTGGTGAGCGCATGTCCCGTCTCCCATCAGGGACACAGCTGCTGGGACGCCCCCCGCAAAGCTCCCGGGGACACTGCAAGCAGGAGGGCAATCGAGAAACGAGGTGCTGCTGAGAGCGCCCAGGTGCACAGGCTCATCCCAGCAAGGCGTTCCCACTAACGGGAATGGGAACACACCGTCGGCCGCAGCCAAGAAGCTCCGCCAGCCCAGACCCAACCGACCGCCAACCTGGACGCTCCACCATCACAGCTTCCGAGGGGGTCACCAGCTGGAGGACAGGTTTTTCAGCAATGCCTCCGGGCCTTTGCACACACCCGGGCCACGATCCTTCCTTTCCACTCGGAAAATTCCTTTGCATCTTCCCATATGAGCTCCCCTGCTCCAAGCCAGCCTCCCAGCCTGGCCTCTCCACCCCAACTCTCTCTCACTCACCCCTCCACGCTCTGTCACCCGTGTCTGTGGCCCTCCTGAACCAGCCTGAGAAAAGCAAAAACTGCCTCCTCGATCTTGGAAGCATAGGGCCCGGCCCACGGCAGAGAGTGGATGCCGTCAGGACCCGAAGGTAACCTCAGCTGAGGGAGTGGTCCAGCTCATGGTCAGAAAACGCTGGGTCACCTCAGCATCGCTCACGATCGGCAAACAGTGGGAACCACCCAACCCACTGACAGAGAGGCAAAGCGTGCACTTCTCCACACCCGGAAATATCACCTGGCCATTGAAAGGCCTGATGGTTGATCCACACGCGACATGAACAAACTTTTAAACATTACACTAAGTGAAGAGCCACAAAAGACCACATGTTGTGATTCCATTTACAGGAGATGCCCAGAATAAGCGGACCTAGAGGAAGTAAATCAGCGACTACCTGGAGGTGGGAAAGGGGCGTGACTGCTGACGGACAAGAGGCTCCTTCGGGGCGATGGCAATGCCAGCGTACTGAACCGTGCCGATGGCTACACAGCTCTGTGCTTTCAATGAAAGTCACCCAATCATGTGCTTGAAACAAGTAAACTTTATGCTGTGTAAACTATACCTCAATGAGGCTGTTACAAAACAAAAGTCTGGTGCCTCAGGCAAGTCCGGCTGGGGCGCCCTCCAGGTCAGATTTGGCGGTCAGTCCCAAGCAAGTCATCCCATGAGCCAAAGTGCAGAGAAAACGTCAACAGCTCATTCGAATCCTGCACAGGTACGTGTACACAGGATTTTATCTCCTTCAACTGAGCGCAAGATTCCTGAAGGCCAAGCCAGACAGGCCAGGAAGCCCTGTGGCCATTTAGAAACACCAGCCAGCTGACCAGGAGCGCCAACTTCCATGACGGGCTGCGGCAAATGCCAGCACCGGAGGCGGTGCCCCTGCCGGAGCCAGAGGGCGCTGAACTACACACGCCACCCACCTCCTCTGCCGCTCAAAGAACAGCAGGGCGGCTGCGGCCCCAGGACGGGGGCTGGGTGCGCCTGCCCCTGCCCTGGCCCCGGGCCCAGTCTGCAGGGTGGAGGGCAGGCACGTCCCTGCAAACTTCACCCTGCTGGCCCCGCCCAGGCCCAGTGGGAGGGCTGAGGTGCTCCCCCCACTCAGAAGTGGGAGGAAGTGCATTTCCTCTTCTACATTCCCAGATGCTCAGAAGCTTCTGGACTGTGCTTTCTGTCGGGTAAAAACTAAACTGCACTTTCATCGTCTGCTCACAAACGCCTGTCACTGCCAGTTAAGAATAAGACAAAAGTTTTCTCCTGAGCCACCCCCACTCTGCGTAGGGCTCCTCGCTGTCTGGGACCACGTGGAATCTGATATAGCTCACGCAGCATCTCTTCTGGGGCCCACTTCCTTCCCAGGGGCGAGGGTGTCCCCTGTCATCAGCCGTCCAGAATGAAGATAGCCAAGGACTAAAGAGGCAGCCACACAAGAAGTGGTGACCCTTCTCAAGTCAGGAATTACTCTATAAAAAGAAAGAAAAAGTACTATGCACCTAGTTCACGAGCCAGCTCCATGCCAAGCGGAGGGAACGTGCAGGAAAACACACGGACGTAAGCTACACATCACAAAACTGTTCTCCAAGTAAGTCCCAGCAGCTCCAACGGCAAGTCATAACACGCTGGCGTTATCCTCGGCTTCCCCCGGCAGGTTTGCAGCAAGACCTCCCTTCCTCAGATAAGGCCGCCCGTGTTACTCAGCAAAGCACTTTCTGTGACGGACAAGTACGTCCATTCGCTGCTCTGCCTGTGACAGCTGCCAGTGGGGCAGGCGGAGCGGTGTCTGCTACTACAGTGGAGTCCATACTTTGTCACCTGAGCTGAACCATTGCAAAGACACTTTCTTAAAAAAGAAGAAAAACTGTTTAAGGCGTAAGAAGAGAACTGTATTTCAGACTAACCGGTTGATAATGGTGTGAATTAATAAAAATGTCACGAAATAGTAGAAAAAAAAATAATAATAATGTTTCCTCAATTCTTCCAGGTTGAAAGCCAGAGAAAGGATCGACGGCCAGCTAAAGCCGCGGCCCTGAGCGTGTAGAAGGGACAAGTTCCTTCCCCTGCCACTGGCTGGCCCACCGCTAGGAGAGACCAGCGGGAGTGACAGCTGGGGTCTCTCCTGCTCGCTCTGCAGCTGGAACGCCAAGGCCTAGGCATCCTCCTTTCCTACAGCAGGTGCTCAGCAAACGTGGGAGGGACAGAGGGCGCCGGGCCCCCCAGCTCTCGCGTCCTGGGGTAACGACGCCTTGAAAGCAGGCTCTGGAGGAACTCTGCTGCTCGACAACTGGAACCGTGTCACTTTTGTTCCAAAGGGTGGGAGACTCACAGTTAAGGAACCGTTCAAGAACTTACAATTTACCATCTCCGATACACAACCCACGAAACTTACAACCACACGTGCACAGATAACCAAGCCCCGTTCGAATCCCTCTGTCGGGATGGCTGGCGTCCTTCCGGAGCTGCCGTCTCACAGCCCGGCGGCAGGAAGCGCTCCTCCCCTTCCGAAGGCCCGAGCAAGCAGCAGCTCCAGGCCCCATCACCTTCAGAGCCATCTTCCGCCAGCACCTGGACCAGCGTCCTCAGCACGGGACCCAGGAGGCGGGCGCTCCGCTGACCTAACCCCGAGGAGCCGCCTGGCTGCCGTCTTGACCAGGGCCTCGAGAACCGGGGCCGGGTCAGCCTAACTGGTTCATTTCTGGACACTCGCAAGGATGGCTGGAGCACACAAAGCACAGGACTCAGCGTGAAGGACTGGCTGCGGGTGGCTGCGGAGCCCAGAACACCTGCCCCGGGGACGGGAGCCCGTGATGACCCCAGCCCCTCCCCAACAATCCCACACTCAGACTGATGGACACACAGCGCTGTGAAGGCAGCGCAGCCAACAGGCTGCTCTGAAACACACTCCCGGGGCGGCCCTCCCAATACACGCAGACACGGCTGCCCGCCCTCAACCCGCAGGCCCATGGGTCCCAAGGCCTCCTACCAAACACCTGTCCGTCCCAGCGCAGCCGCGGTTCCCGATGCCAAGCACCGCGAAGTGCTTGTCTCCGCTGCCTCAGTTTACCCTCCCGGAACTGGCCCCACAAGCACTGCCATCTCCGTTTCACAGACGGCTTTAGAAAAGCAGGTCTGGAGAGGCGAACTGATGGCGTGAAGTCACACAGCCCAGGAGCAGCAGGCCCAGGACCGGGTTCTGCCCGCCCCAGAGGCCAGCTGAGCGCCCCACCCCGGCCCGCGACGGTCCCCTGGGCCACCCCACCCGGCCCGCGCGAGCCCGGCGCTCTGGCTGCAGGCCTTCCCCTGCCCAATCTTACTCCTCTTTGGCCTCTGGATCCATCCATCCATCCCTCCCGTGCCCATCTCCGCCGGGCTCCCCTTCCCAAACCCGCGGCCGCCCTGCGGGCTGGACAGGAGGACCCCCTCCCCGCCCTGCGCCCAGCGGGGACCCGACAGACCCCGACACGAAGGCCGCCCACCTCCCTGCCAGGGCCGCGGGGCGGCCCGGGCACCTCCACCTGCCCGCTCCCGGCCCAGCCCCCGGGGCGGCGGAGCTGCGGGGGGAGGGGGCGCTCGGAGCGTCGGGCGGGGACGGACGAGGGCCGCGCCACCAGGTGAAAAGTGCCCGCCCTTTTCGCTCCTCAAAAACAAAAAAGTTTTCACCCGAGATCGGGGAGAGTAACTTCGGGAGGCGACGCGCCGCTGTGCTTCCCAGGTTTCCAGCCGAGCGCAGGGCCCTACGGCTGCCCTCCTTCGCTCCCCGCCCTCCGGCCCCCGCCGCCCCGGCCCCGCCGGCGGCCGCGCCAGCACTGGGGACCGGATCTGCCCGGCCCCCCGCGAAGTGTCCCTGCCCGGCGACACGCTTCTTTCTTCCCTGGCCGGCTCCCCGCGGCGGCCGGCGAGAGCGGCCCCGGCCGACCTCCCCCCTACCCGGGCCGCCCCTCCCCACAACCCAGCGGCGAGCCGCAGCCGCCGGACCTGCGCTGGTCACCGGGGGCGGGCGCCTGTCCGTCCTGCCCCGGGCCGGCGCGGCCGCAGCCCCGCGGTCAGCAGCTCCCGTCCGCCACCCCGTCCCTGAGGAGACGCCCCTCGCCCGGCCGGCCCGCTCCGCCCGGGCCCGACGCCCCGGACCCGAGCGGCTCGCAGCGCGCCCCGCCGCCCCGGGCCTCCCGCCCCGCCGCCCCACTCACCCCATGAGCCAGTCCATGGCTGCTCGGGGCCCGCCGCCCGACACGCTCGGCCCTCAGCCCGCGGCGGCGGCGGCGGCGGCCGGAAGTAAACACTCGCTCGCACACTCCCACACGCGCGCCGCGGGCTCCGCCGGAAGTGACGTGGCCGCACCGCCTGCTGGGACACGTAGTCCCGGCGGCCTCTAGGCCCCGCCCGCCCAGCCTGGAGCCTGCTGGGGGCGGGAGGGGGAGGCGGTGCCTCGACGCCCCTCTCCCTACTCCCTGCACAGTTATCACACGCCCCGGGATGTCCCCTCACACCCCTGATGTCCCCTCGCAGACCCAAACAGTCCCCTCACAGCACAGACAGTCCCCTCACACCCGGATGTCCCCTCACAGCACAGACAGTCCCCTCACACCCGGATGTCCCCTCACAGCACAGACAGTCCCCTCACACCCGGATGTCCCCTCACAGCACAGACAGTCCCCTCACACCACAGTCAGTCCCTTCACACCAGGATGTCCCCTCACACCCGGATGTCTCCTCACACCCAGATGTTCTCTCTCACCTGGATGTTCTCTCACACCACAGACAGTCCCCTCACAGCACAGACAGTCCCCTCACACCACAGACAGTCCCCTCACACCCGGATGTCTCCTCACACCCCGATGTCCCCTCACACCCGGATGTCCCCTCACACCCCAATGTCTCCTCACACCCCGATGTCCTTTCACACCACAGACAGTCCCTCACACCCGGATGTCCCCTCACACCCGGATGTCCCCTCACACCCGGATGTCCCCTCACACCCCGATGTCCCCTCACACCCGGATGTTCCCTCACACCCCGATGTCTCCTCACACCCCGATGTCCCCTCACACCCCGATGTCCCCTCACACCCCGATGTCTCCTAACACCCAGATGTCCCCTCACAGCACAGACAGTCCCCTCACACCCC